CCACCTCCGAGATCCACCAGCAGTTCATTCAGAAACTTTCGACTTTACTTCCTTCATCCTTTCACCTCCTCAATTTTCCTCATTCACTTTATCACTTTCTTAAAAATATTCATAATTATTTATCTTTCATTACCTGTCATCTCTAGTACCTGTCCTCTGTAGTACCTGTCCTCTGTAGTACCTGTCATCTCTAGTACCTGTCACATGTAGTACCTGTCCTCTGTAGTACCTGTCCTCTGTAGTACCTGTCATCTCTAGTACCTGTCACATGTAGTACCCTGTCCTCTGTAGTACCTGTCCTCTGTAGTACCTGTCATCTCTAGTACCTGTCACATGTAGTACCTGTCCTCTGTAGTACCTGTCTCTGTGGTACCTGTCATCTCTAGTACCTGTCATGTGGTACCATCCTCTGTAGTACCTGTCCTCTGTAGTACCTGTCATCTCTAATTACCTGTCACATGTAGTACCTGTCCTCTCCTAGTACCCCTGTCCTCTCTGAGTACCTGTCATCTCTAGTACCTGTCACATGTAGTACCTGTCCTCTCTAGTACCTGTCCTCTCTAGTACCCTGTCATCTCTAGTACCTGTCACATGTAGTACCTGTCCTCTAAGTACCCTGTCCTCTCTAGTACCTGTCATCTCTAGTACCTGTCACATGTAGTACCTGTCCTCTGTAGTACCACCTGTCCTCCTGTAGTACCTGTCATCTGGCACTGTCACGCCTTGGTACCTAGCCACTCTCTAGTACCTGTCCTCTCTAGGCCTGTCCCTCTCTAGTACCTGTCATGTAGTACCTATCCTCTCTAGTACCTGTCCTCTGTAGTACCTGTCCTCTGTAGTACCTGTCATCTCTAGTACCTGTCACATGTAGTACCTGTCCTCTGTAGTACCTGTCCTCTGTAGTACCTGTCATCTCTAGTACCTGTCACATGTAGTACCTGTCCTCTCTAGTACCTGTCCTCTCTAGTACCTGTCCTCTCTAGTACCTGTCCTCTCTAGTACCTGTCACATGTAGTACCTGTCCTCTCTAGTACCTGTCCTCTCTAGTACCTGTCCTCTGTTCTACATAATTAACATCAAAACATGTGTGAGGGTCGTAGTATGTAGAACACTCAGGACAGGTGTTGCGTTGCTAAGGGGACAGATGTGGACAGGTGTTTATGTTCTCTCAGTGAGCTGCATTAGGTAGTGTATTGCGGTCTGCCAGTTATGTGAGGAGGATTTATTGGCGTGGGTAGTGGGGTGGGTGGAGGTGTTGGTGGGGTGGGTGGGGTATTGGTGGGTGTTGGTGGGGTGGGTGGGGGTGTTGGTGGTGTAGGGGGAGTATAAGACTAATATGCACACACACACACTCACTAGATTAAGTCCGCCTTATACAACTGACGTAGATCCAGTTTGCATTATGTAAATTACTGTACTGGATTTTCATACGGGATTTATTCAGCATTTAAATTCTATCAGGATTATCAGGCTGATGAAGGAGACAGAATTACGCTGCACCAGTTATCGTCCCCGGCTCGCTAATTCTCACACCTCTAATACACGGTAATTCTGAAGCTAATGCTGAGTAATTCTGAAGCTAAAGCCGGGTAATTTTGAAGCTAATGCTGAGTAATTCTGAAGCTAAAACCGGGTAATTCTGAAGCTAAAACCGGGTAATTCTGAAGCTGAAACCGGGTAATTCTGAAGCTAAAGCCGGGTAATTCTGAAGCTAAAGCCGGGTAATTCTGAAGCTGAAACCGGGTAATTCTGAAGCTAAAGCCGGGTAATTCTGAAGCTAAAGCCGGGTAATTCTGAAGCTAAAGCCGGGTAATTCTGAAGCTAAAGCCGGGTAATTCTGAAACGAATGCCGAGTAATCCCGAACCTAATGCCGAGTAATTCTGACGCTAATGCCGAGTAATGTTGGAAATAAGGTGTTGTGTTTACAGTTAAAATAAAAATTTAACTTACAACTTACTATCATTTGTTAATTTGTTTTATTCCATTTATTTTGGATCTTTTAATTATCTGTTTTTTGCGTAATTTATCTTTATTCATTCGTTTATTAATTTATTGTCTTTAGTTAATTAATTATTGGTAATTTTTTCGATATATTGGGTAATTTTCCTATTCATTATTGGTCATTTATTTTCGCTATATTAAGTAATTTTTTATTAATTATTGATCATTTATTTTCGATATATTAAGTAATTTTCTTAGTTTATATATTAATTTTTATACTTGTCAGTGAAGTTTTTTGGGGGGATATTTATTAAAAAGAAAACAAGTGGACAAAATCAAATAGGATTCAGGGATGCTCAGAGACAGGACCTGAAGTACGTTTTAATAACTAGAACTATATAATGTTACAGTCTGTGTGTGTGTGTCTGGGGGGGGGGATAGGAGGAACGAGGATAAAAGTGAGTAGATGAGGAAGATGAGAGGAAGTGAAGTTTACAAAAAATATATATAAAAGAAATTAAAAAAAGAAGAATGTAGATGAGTTAAGAAAGATGATAATGGTGGAATGGAAATACAAGGAGATAATTGATGATGATAGATGGTATAACTGTAGGGTGAATGAATGAATAGATGGATGAAATTAAAATCCAGGTCCCCAGAGAGATACAAAAACCTTGGAATGTTTATTTATTTGTTCACCCTTGTATCAGTTAAACATCTTAGGATAGGTTTTCAATTTCTTGTATTTTTTCTTCCTCTTGTTGTTGTTGTTTATTTACCTATACACTGTGATTGTTATTGCCATCTGATGATCACACAGTTTGTACAGGGAAAGGGGGAAATGGTAATACTCTCTGATGGATGTAGAACGGGTGAGAGGTGTAGAGGAATTGAGATTCTCTCTCTCTCTCTCTCTTTTTTTTTTTTTTTTTTTTTTTTTTTCTCTCTCTCTCTCTCTCTCTCTCTCTCTCTCTCTCTCTCTCTCTCTCTCTCTCTCTCTCTCTCTCTCTCTCTTGTGCGATAGAGTGAATACTAGAAGGGTGGAGATGGCTTGCAGAGGGAGGGAGTGAGAGGAGGTAGGGAGGGAGTGAAAGGGAGGTAACAGAAGGGGAAGTGAAGATGGTAGAGAGAGGAAGAGGAGGGTGGATATGACAGGGAGGAGGTGAGAGGAAGGTAGGAAGAGAGGGAGAGTGAGAGAGGTAGAAGAGAGGAGAGAAAGATTGATAAGGCCTGGGAGTTGTTAAGTGCGATTAAGAGGTGGAGAGAGGAGGAGGGAGAGGAGGGCAGGGAGTTAAGGCGACGATAACCTGGGAGTTATTAGAGAGTTAGGGGGCAGGAGGGAGGTAAGGGGTAGGAGGAGAGAGTTAGGGGGTAGGAGGGAGAGAGAGTTAGGGGCAGGAGGGAGAATTATGGGGTGGGAAGGAGGTTAGGGGCAGGAGGTTAGGGGGGCAGGGAGGGGGAGGGTTAGGGGAAGGAGGAGAGATCTTTACGGGGTAGGAGGTGGAGAGAGTTAGGGGGGTAGGAGGAGGGAGAGAGTTAGGGGTGGGAGGGAGAGAGTTAGGGGAGGAGGAGAGTTGGGGGGTAGGAAGGAGAGAGTTAGGGGGTTTGAGGGAGAGAGTTGGGGGTAGGAAGGGAGAGAGTTAGGGGTAGGAGGGAGAGAGTTAGGAGGTTGGAGGGAGAGAGAGTTAGGGGTGGGAAGGGAGAGTTAGGGGGTGGGAGGAGAGAGAGTTAGGGGTGTGGGAGGAGGGAGTTGGAGGTGGAGGAGAGAGGTTAGGGGTAGGAAGGGAGAGAGTTGGGGAAGGAGGAGAGAGTTAGGGAAGGAGGGAGAGAGTTAAGGGGTGTAGGAGGAGAGAGTTAGGGGGTAGGGAGGGGAGAGAGTTAGGGGGGTAGGAGGGAGAGAGAGATAGGGGGGTGGGAGAGAGAGTTAGGGGTGTAGGAGGGGGAGAGAGTTAGGGGTAGGAGGGAGGGATTGGGGGTAGGGAGGGAGAGGGAGTTAGGGGGTAGGAGGGAGAGAGGTGAGTAAAGGTATAGTCTTGATTGCTAGTGGAAGGGATGGAAAAGTGTGAGGAAGGGAAGGAAGACGGGAAAGAAAGCGAGGGGGATAAAATCAAAGAGAGACAGACAGACAGACAGACAGACACAGAACGAGGGAAATTGATAGAGAGGGGAGGATAGATTGATATAGAGGGTTATAAAGAAAGACAGAAAGGGAAGTCAAAGAATAAAAAATAGATAAGAGGAGGAAGGTAGGGCAAAGTGAGAGAAAAGAAAGAAAGTTACAATTGAGTGCTGGGTGTAACACACACACACACACACACACACACACACACACACACACACACACACACATACATGACTGCAGGTATATCTGAGTTTATGTTTTGAGTTGGAAATTGTAACTTAGGGGCTGTGTCTTACCACCGTGTTGTCCTCTCTCTCTCTCTCTCTTTTTTTTTTTTTTTCTCTCTCTCTCTCTACATGCGTGTCTCTGTCTTTCTTTGTTTAGAAGTTTTTATTTGAGTGATTTTTGTTAGGGAACTTTTTATTATTATTGCTGTTGTTATTACTATTATTAGTATTATTTTAATTATGTTATTATTATTATTGTTTTGTCATCATTTCTTCTAATTCTTCTTCTCCTCCTCTTTCTCTTTCTCTTCCTCCTTCCTCCTTATTTATTCATTTATTTTTGGAGGCAAAAGGTTGATATTATCTTCACGAACTCCTAAACTTGGTGTTCCAGAACTGGTAATTTTCCTTCAGCAAGTTTCTCATCTTACCTTAGGAATGTAAATGGTGTTCATCCTACCACTATATTTCCTCGCTTACCTTACCTTATGGGGACCCAAGCCAACCCAACTTAACCTGACCTAACCCAACCTGACCTAACCTAACCCAACCTGACCTAACCTAACCCAACCTGACCTAACCTAACCCAACCTGACCTAACTTAACCTAACCCTACCCAGAAGACAAACTTTAGACCAGCAGATAGAGTTGAGTATACTAGGGCACTCCCCAGGTATACCAGGCGGTAATCGGTACCTGTTTCTTGCAGTGGTGAGCTACCTGGCAGTGGTCATGTGGTACCTGGCGTTGATAGGCCTGGTCACCTGTGTCCTGCTCTTCGTCGGGTTGTGTAAGGTGAGTCTCCTGCCAGGTGAACCATTTGTAGTTGGTCTGGCCGCGCCCAGGTGAGTTGTGTGTGTGTGTGTGTGTTCTTTGATAGTCCACCCACCCAAGAGAAATGTTTCATCTCTCTCTCTCTCTCTCTCTCTCTCTCTCTCTCTCTCGCTCTCGCTCTGCTCTCGCTCTCGCTCTCTCTCTCTCTCTCTCTCTCTCTCTCTCTCTCTCTCTCTCTCTCTCTCTCTCTCTCTCTCTCTCTCTCTCTCTCTCTCTCTCTCTCTCTCTCTCTCTCTCTGGTTTTCGCTGAATAACACACACAAACTTTTCTCACATTTCGTTTGTAATATTAAACTGCCACGAGAGGTTCACATGATAAGAGCACCACACACAAACATATATACATACATACATACATACATACATACATACATACATACATACATACATACATACATACCTACCTAGACCTGTACATGCATATATACATACATACATACATATAATGGTAACCCCTCGTGTTCGAGGATGGCCAGTCCTAGGGCCACCTTGGCGTGAATTTGTTTAAGGTGTAGAAGCTGTCGCCAAACAACAACCACACCCTGAGTTGGTGAGCTGTATGACCCAGTGTTAAGGAATAGTCCAAGAAAACCTGACAACTCGCCAAGTGAACTGGCCGGCTAACCATTACCCTGGAACACGATCTGCAAATTTTCCAGGTTCTTAATCGCTGCTGGGTAGACATAGGCTTTTGTCTACATACATACATACATACATACATACATACATGCGATCTGTGCTGTAGTGGTCAGCTTGCTCGCTTCTCCAAGCGAGTTGTCTCTGGTTCGATCCCTAGGCAGGGTGAAACTATGGGCAGATTTTTTACGCCATTTGCCTCTCTATACATATATGGATATAAACAAACACACACACACACACACCATCTTACCTGACCTCAATACTGATTACATATTACTTGTATTTATTCCAGACTGTCTTTCTTCACTCACCTTTCAACCATCTCGTTCAAAACATTTTATATCTCTCTCCTCCTCCTCCTCCTCCTCCTCCTCCTCCTCCTCCTCCCCGGCGACCAGGAGTCTTAGATCCTATCGGGACAAAGTGGGTGTAAGAGTGTTTGGAATCTCGTGTAACTTGACGGTGTTGATGGGCTCGCTGTGGTCACTCTCACCTCGCAGCTGTAAATAGTATTGGCTGAAGGTGATGTGTCCTTGGTGGACGATACTGAAGGCAACGTGTTGTATTTTAGTTTATCTCTCGATGTATGTAACTATCTTTTGATCTATATCTATCTACCTTTCCTTGTCTATCTATCTATCGCTATACTCAACCAGCTACACCCAATCCACCCTGCTTCTGCCCCAAACTACAGTAAACTACCAGAGAGAGAGAGAGACAGAGACCTTCCAGTATACCAAATTTCCTTGCACCCACTTCACACTCAACTTCTCCTCCGACACGCTCTGGTTAAGTGGTTCTGGCGCTGTTCTCCCAACACTCGAGGCCCTGGGTTCGACCCCCCTCTCGCCTCCTTCAGGCTCGTGAATGTTTCCTTTTAGTTAACATAGTGAGTTGTTTAGTGAGTGTTGGCTGATGAGTCGAACCTTGGCTGTGAAATTATCAATGGTGATTCTTGTGGTTAATGAATCTCTCTCTCGCCTGTGGGTAAAGTCTGGTAAACTGATATTAGTTGGTGAAGAGATATTACCCATGTGGAAATGTGATTATAATTAGCAGAGTTGAAATTTTTTCCAGATGTTTATTATTATTATTATGTTTTTGATGTTGTTGTTGTTCTTGTTATCATTATTATTATTATAATTATTATGATTGCAATATTCTGTTTTATATATTGTACACACTAACTTGTTATTATATATGCATTATTATATATGGTTCTTAAACACGATTGTATCTTGGCTTATCGTTAACTATATTATCTGGTGCCCTAGATAAGATAATATACCTTCACATATAGTCGAACACCCAGTACATCCCCGAACGCTTATCTTACGAATCTTATGATAATTTTGTACGCGTGTGTGTGTGTGTGGGGGGGTGGCTCAGGAGGTGGGTGTCTGTATGTGTGGGAGAGAGTTAAGAGGGTGGTTACTGAGTGTGTGTGTGTGTGGGGGCTCAGGAGGTGGGTGTCTGTATGTGTGGGAGAGAGTTAAGAGGGTGGTTACTTGAGTGTGTGTGTGCGTACAGGATATGGTTTATAAGAGGAAATGGTTGCCTGGTTACGTGTGTGTGTGTGTGGGGGCTGCCTACTGTGTGTGTGTGTGTGTGGCTGCCTACTGTGTGTCTGTCTGTCTCTGTCTGTCTGTCTGTCTGTCTTGGGAGTGGGGGGTAATATGGAATACAGGACAACCACGGCAGGAAACTGAATGAAATTGTAACGTCAATTTGCTCTTCCTTTCTGGTCAAGTGGCGGGAAATTCAATCTTCCTCAGACGCAGCTGCCACGTGATGTTCCCCCCCCTCCCACCCACCCCGCCTATTGGTTTCTGACGATGTTTCACCCTGTCTATTGGTTTTCTAGTGATGTTTCTGACGATGTTTAGTGGTTTCTGACGATGTTTAACCCTGTCTATTGGTTTTCTAGCAATGTTTAGTGATGTTTCTGACGATGTTTAGTGGTTTCTGACGATGTTTAACCCTGTCTATTGGTTTTCTAGCAATGTTTAGTGATGTTTCTGACGATGTTTAGTGGTTTCTGGCGATGTTTAACCTTGTCTATTGGTTTCTAACAATGTTTAATGATGTGCATGACGATGTTTGGTGATGTTTTGGAATGTTCAATGTTTGGGAATGTTTAATAATGTCATTCCCTATACTGTTTAGGAATGTTTAACGATATTTTAGAATGTTTAATGGTGTTCAATGATGTTTTAGTGTTTTATTAAATATTTTTTTTCGACACTGAGGTTCAACATTATCTTATATATTGTAATTATTGGTGTTTATGAATGTTTATTTGTCGTGAATATTGATTTACATTAATTTAGGTTGTTGTATCCTACTGTAGATGTGACTTAAAGAGACAGACACACACAGAGGAGGGAAGGAGAGAGAAAAGGGGGAGACGGGCAGACAGACATAAAGATGAGAAAGAGACAGATACAGACGAGAGAGACAGACAGACAGCGAGATACAGAGGAGGAAAGAGAGAGAGAGAGAGAGGGAGATAAACCAGGAGACAGAGAGATAGGAAAATCTATTTGTTCTTGACCTGATTCGCTTTACGACGCTAAACTGCGTCATTCCACACCTGTAATTGGTTTGACTCTCTCTCTCTCTCTCTCTCTCTCTCTCTCTCTCTCTCTCTCTCTCTCTCTCTCAAACGTACACGGACATTTACTCACACGTTACATATAGACATTCACCTTTAGTTACACCTACATCATACAGACACAAGCACACTCGTATACATACTCAGACTGTCATACATATACATACATGCAGACATTTACATACATATTTACACAGACATACGCAGATATATTGGCATGCCCTGTATATCTGAATGCATACACATATACAGACAGGCAGCCATAAACATAAAGAAATTCGACACTGATGTATAGATCAATACAAACATACAGACCGACAGATATACACACAGACAAACGAATTTTTAACAGATATACATGACACAGACATAGATGCACACACAGACTTTTGGAGACTTCTAAAACAGACACAGACAAAAGGATGCATACACGCAGGCAAAGACATATGTGCACACAGACATACAGCCGAACACATATACAGATACGAGGTATACACAGAGACATCAGACTCAGACATACAACAACCACACACACACACACACACACACACACACACACACACACACACACACACAGAGAGAGAGCTATAAAGGACCTCACCCAGAGTCATAACTCGTATTATTATCACTACAAAGCTAAGGTGGTAGTCTCTCTCTCTCCATCTTCTTATCTCGCTCGTTCCCCATTTTCTCCCTCCCTCTTTCCTTTCTTCCCACTCTTCCTCCTTCCATCCCTATTTCCGTCCCTCCCTCCCTTCCTCCCTATTTCCGTCCCTCCCTTCCTCTCTCCCTCTCTCACCCCTCCCTTCTTCCCTCCTTCACCTCCCGCCCTTAAGGCCGTAATTTCAAGTTATTATAAATTAACCAAAAAAATTTCCTCGAGTATAAAGTAATTAAATTTAGTCCGACCAGGAAGTTCATATACTACCTCTATTTCCTCCTCTTCTGACTCGACTGATGCTTGTTGTACGCGCTTGAGGGATACATTTCAATAGGTTTTTCTTCACTATACAACGTTAATACTCTTCGTTATGGGGTGGATCTAATGTTTTGATCTTTAGTGCTGTACGACAGTTTGGGTTGAGTGACAGTGCTCAGGCATCGTTCAGTCTGGATAATTATCTCCTAACCAGTTGTTGTTGCAGGTCTGGAGGGCGTAGGATGTGTCCCCTTGCATAACTTCAACTTTCACAATTATCATCGTCCCCGTTAGAGCTGCAACGGTACACACACACACACACACACACACACACACACACACACACACTCCATACAAGTGTTAACAAGACACAGACGCCAATAAGACTTCTTCCTCATCTCTTCTACTGGACAATAAGACTTCACTTCACCTACTGGACAAAAGGACTTCACCTCACTTACTGGACAATAAGACTTCACTTCACCTACTGGACAATAAGTCTTCTCATCTACTGGACAATAAGACTTGACCTCACCTACTGGGCAAAAGGACTTCACCTCACTTACTGGACAATAAGACTTGTCATTTCAAAGCTAATAAAAGGTTGATATTCGCCCCGTGTATTGACTGTGTGTGGGAGAGAGAGAGAGAGAGAGAGAGAGAGAGAGAGAGAGAGAGGGAGAGTCTGTGAGAAAGGGAGAGGGAGTGTTAGAGAGAGACAAGAGGTAGGGAGTGAGAGAGAGGGATGGAATGTGAGAGGGAGGGGTAGAGAGGGGAGTGAGAGGAGAG